CGATCGTCTTTTGTTGGAGTTATTCAAATTAGGAAAATCATGTTGAGATTTAAAACTTTAACAAAAAAAAAACTGTTGAGATTTAAAACGATCCCAATTAATTGACAATAGACTTGAAGAGTATCAACCGCATCTAACAGTGCCACGTGTGAAATTGAAATGAGAGTGAGAAATAAATGTCCTATCTGTCTTTGAGTGGCAAATTAAAAAGACAGAAAAACAAAAAGTAGTTTCATTTCGATTTTGGACCGCTCCCTTTCTACTGTCACTTACCTGTCCCCATTGATTACCTCTTCAGCTTTCCCCTTTTTCCCTGTTTTAAATTAAATTTTCTTTATATTGGATGAGATTATAAAAAAAAAACTAAACAAATCTCTGAAACTTGTATAAATTATAAACTTATTATAAAGTAAATATTTTTTTGATAATATTACAAAAAGCAATATATATCTTGCAATTTAATACGTTTACACTGATCAAAAGAGAAACGTAACAATTTTAGTAAATTAGGCACATATTAATAATTTATTACATTCTTAGTCGCGCCAACTTTTCATCCTAAAAAAAGGATTTCATCTTCTCGTTGGAAACAATGGTTTGTTTTTTACCATTCAAACCAATATTTTTTTTATTATTATTTTTTCCTGGTCAGATCAAATAAATGAATTATAATAGAACCATCACAGGTCGTGCCTTCTCTCGTTTCCATTTGTTACAGAGAATACAGATGCTTGCTGCATGTTCCATAGAGTCATACTATAACCATATTTCCGGATAAAGTATGAGTCGTCTCTAACTGGGAATATATCATTATCATTTCGTTTCCTTTACTTACATTATTAATTTTCCTTTCCATGCATTATCATCATGTACCCTCTTTTTTAAGTTCATTGTTCCGCACGTGATCGTTGCAACTTTTTTCAACGACCAAAATCAGAAAAGATATAAAAATTACAATTTTTCAGTGACCGTATTCAATTTAGGAGGAAAATATATTAATCGTAGTGTTGTCGAACCATCATATAAACTAAGCTAGTTTTCTAAAACCATATATCGACTCTTTTTTTGAGGATGCAGTTTACTACTAACATTCAAGATTGATTTTGAATGTTGTCTTTATAATTAGCAGTGCTTGATTCGTCTCTTCAATAATGAACTTTTTTTTCACGACCATCTCGTTTGCCTTCAATGACTATGTGCCGAAAAATGTTTTTAATTAGGTCTCCGTATGAAAAATTGATGGCAAAAAAAATGGACAGTACGAGAAAATGATGTTTAGTAATCGCATTGATTAGATTCTTTTCTCCTCCAATAACTACATAGTAAATACGTTGTGACTAAATTAATGCTGCAAAATCTATTGAGGATTACTTTATTATGCGTACCTAATCAAATACTAATATTAATAACAACGATTTTTGTCATTTTCCATTGAGGAATATGGGGCCCGGAATCGGGTGGTGAAATGAAATGCTCATTGAATGTTTGCCTACCAAACAAACTCTTTTCCGTTTTATTTTTCTGCATTTTAATTATTTCCTTACAACAAAAAAAAGTTGACACAGAAAATTGTTCCAAGGATAGAAATAGCAATATATATAATTTAATGTCGCATGAAAATGTGAATGTGATTTCAATAACAACGAAACGCAGATTAAGACATAATCAGAATCTGAACACCATAGTTCAGCAGCCCACTGCAGACTCTTTATTTTTACCAACTTTTAACACATCAATGAAATTTATAGTCCTCGATCGAATTAATGTAGTATAAGCATAAAATATAAATTTTTTATATAGTTTTGAACCAAACAGTTGAAAAATATAATCACGCAAAAGAGGAGTAGCATGAATATGAACCGTGACAAGCTTGAGTAAATGCGAAACGATAGTACAAAATAAAACATTACAAAAAGTATTAAAATGATACAATATTTAAATTTTCTTTGGGACGGAGAGTTATTTTTTAAATCGGAATATTTTCTCGATATTGAAAAAATTATGAGCCAAAGATTCAGAACTCCCACGGTTTATCAAAAAAAAAAACATTTAAACATAAGAACAAACGAGGGCAGCATTCCAATAGGATGGCAAATTAATCCGCAAATTCTCATCGTATTGGAAGTGCATGCCCCTTAATTATTTAACAGTAGTATAGAATTAACAAATTATAACACCAAAAAAATATAATAAAAAAAAAACTAAATCGAAGTTTCTTTTACATTCATTTATCCTTTCCAATCTGGTTTAATAAAAAGACGTAAAAATTTAATCAAGGGAAGAGCAAAAAAAGCAAAAAATTAAGAAAGAGAGAATACTGTCACCTTGTGGTTGTTTTAGCGTTTGCGTTTTTCTTTTTTTTTGTCCAAAACGTTTTACATGAA